TGGGATTCTTTAAATACAAGATCATGTCGTCTGCAAAGAGGGAGAGTTTTATTTCTTCTTTCCCTATTTGGATCCCCTTTATGTCTGCATCTTGTCTTATTGTTGTACTACAGCAATTTTAAATCGACAGAAAGGTGAGCCATCAATACTGAGCTTATGTGTACTTCTCCCTCCCCCAATCCTAGAGTTTCCTCTGGTACTAGTGGGTTGCATTAGAGTGGTTCCTGGGTTGTAATTCACGAGCCAGTATCAAAGCATTATCGTTAATCACAGGGTTCACTCTGTGTTGCGCATTTTTGGACACATATGAGATTTTATCATGTTTCCAAGTTTTGCATTATGCAAGTCATATTGTATAATATGAAATGCATATTGATGTGATGTGTACAAAATATATACACATATATGTATATTTACACACATGTATATGTTTGTATATGTATGTAGATAAACACATATATGTATATACATACTTACATGCATCAATATTATATGCAACATATATATGTATATGTGTATATATTATAGATATAATACACACACATATTTCACATGGATTTGAGTTAGGCATTGGTGACTCACACCTGTTATCCTAGTACTTCAGGAGACTGGGATCTGAGGATTGCAGTTCAAAGCCAGCCAGGGCAGAAAAGTCCACAAGACTCTTATCACCAATGAACTACCCAAAAGCCAGGAATGGCCCTGTGGCTCAAAGGGGTAGAGCACTAGTTTTGAGCCCCAAAGCTCAGGGACAGTTCCCAGGCCCTGAGTTCAAGACCCAGAACCAGCACAACAAAAATGGGGGGAAGGAAGGGCTATAATATTCCATTTATACAGACTATTATAGGTCTGCCTATGAGTGAGTTTTAGCTTTCTCTCAGCTCTGTCAGCTTCTGTCCAGCTGCCTAAACCTCCTCTTCTCTGTGTTGTATTTCTAGTCAGGCCTTAATTACTTATGCCTTTCCAGAGACAGTCTAACTTGACCCCAATCTCCCTGTTTCTTTACATATCATTATGTTATATTCCTCACTTTCTTAGCTGAATAATAACTCCTGTCCTCATTCTTGGTTTGAGGTATTGTTCTTACTTACTCCATTTTCTGTCTGCATCTTTAAGCTATTATTCAGCTTTCTGAGATTTTTCCTTTCTTCCTTATTTCAAATGCCCTCATAAACGTGTTTGTTTTTCTTCTGAAAATATTGACCTAAAGAAAATGCTTGTTGGACTCTCATGGAGGAATTGTTAAGAACACAAATTTTATTGTCTTGTTATGGCTGCCATAACAAAGCACCATAAACTGGGGCGCCGGAGTGAGGGCATTTATTTCCTCATGGTTCCCCAGCGACACACGTAGCAGGTTTGCTTCTTTCTGAGAAGTGGGAGGGAGCGTCCGCCTAGGCCTCCCCTGGCTTCCGCTGGTGTGCTGGCATTCTGATGGAGTTCTGTGGCTGGTAGACACTCCACCCTGACTTGTGCCTTCATTTCCACATGCCTTTTCTGTCTCTCTGTTTTCTGTCTGTGTCCCCAATTCCCCCTTTAAATAGGGACACCAGTTCATATTCGAATCGGGCTCACCCCAGTGATGTCATCTTAAGTAATTACACCTGTATCCAAATCATGTCCCATTCTGAGGTGTTTCTACTGGGACTTCAATGCATAAACAGAGAGACGCAGTCCAGCCCTTAGCAGCATGGTCTCTTGTGGACTTGGAGGGCTGTTCTTCCTCGCTTTGCATACTGGGCAATGTTGGCGCAGTACTGCTCTGACAGTGGCAGTCAGGATGCTGACATTCTCAGTGGTGCCTGACTTCTCCTTGGACCAGTGGTGAGGTTGAAGAGGGCAAGGAGCAATTTGAGATTTGCTCCCTGCAGAATTTTATGACTAAGTCACTTGATGGTTTGTTGTTGCTGGTACTGGGGATTGGACTCAGTACCTTGTGTCCTGCTCAGCTTCTTTGTGCACAGCTGATGCTCTCTTGCTTGAACTGTGCCTCCACTTTTGACTAGGCCATTTTATGATTTTTGCATAGCATAGATCTCATTTTTCAAACGGATTAAAGTGACTGCATTCATCTACAATCTTAATGAATGACTAAGAAATAGACCAAGCGCCCATATTAAAACAACAACAACAACATCCCAAGAAGAGCGAGGTGCTAGTGGCTCACTCCTGTAATACTAGCGACTCAGAAGGCTGACATCTGAGGATTTTTGGTTCAAAGCCAGCCTGGGCAGAAAAGTCTGTGAAACTCTTATCTCTAATTACTCACCTAAAAACTGGAAATGGAACTGTGACTCAAAATGATAGAGCACTAGCCTTGAGCAAAAAAGCTCAGCGGCAGCACCCAGGACCCAGTTCAGGCCAACAAAATCAAAAACAAAGTGAGAATAACTTTACCTTTAATTAGACTTACTAACTTTGTTGTCAATCCCAAGCATGAATGTTCTGGATTTCTCTGTAGACAAATGATAAAACCATTCAGAACATAAGTTTAAAAGCCTTTATAGTTTTATATTACTTTACTATTGTGTATACATCATTAGAATCTATGCATCAGCTTCTGTTAAGGCAAGTGTTTACCTATCTCCTCCTCTCTCCTCATCCCAGAAAGAAAAAATTTGGTGCAAGGATTAGCCAGGAATTGGTGGCTCCCACCTGTAATCCTAGTTACCCAAGAGGCCAAGATTTGAGGATTGTAGTTTGAAGCCAGCTTGGATTGAAAAGTTCATGAGACTCTTATCTCTCATTAACCAGCAAAAAGCTGGAAGTGGAGGTGTGGTTCAAATGGTAGAACTTCAGATATGAGTGAAAAAGCCAAATGAGAGCCTGAGGCCCTGAGTTCAAGCCCCAATACCAGAGCAGCAGCAACAACAACAAATCAAAACCATGCTCTGACAAATTTCAAAGCCAGCAATGCTCTGTTGTTGTGGGGGAAGAAGAGCAGAGCAAGGTGGTTCTTGGTTGTTAGGAGAAAAACTAGTCGCCTGCCATCTTTGATGATCCATCCAGAATGCTCCCAAACCATGATGACCATCACCGTTTTTGTTTTAGTTTTGGTTGGTCATGGGGCTTGAACTCTGGGCCTGGGCTCTTCAGCTCAAGGCAAGTACTCTACCACTTTGAGCCATAGAACCACTCCCACTGTTTTTTTAATCTAACAAGATCTGTTACAAATTGGTAATGCATATTTTTCCTTTCCCTTTTGGCTTCAGATTGAAAACCAACTCAACTCAGAGACACTGTTACAATGGACCAACCCCAGCATCCTGGCCAATGCCAAGGTCAAACTTTCCCTTCCGAAGTTTAAGGTAGAAAAGATGATTGATCCCCAGGTTAGCTTGGAAAACCTAGGGTTGAAAACTACCTTTAATGAAGATACCTCTGATTTCTCTGGGATGTCTGACACCAAGGGCGTGGCCCTCTCCAATGTGATTCACAGCGTGTGCCTAGAAATAACAGAAGATGGTGGTGAGTCCATCGAAGTGCCGGGATCCCGGATCTTGCAACACAAGGATGAGTTCAATGCCAACCACCCATTTATTTACCTCATCCGGCACAACAAAACTCGGAACATCATTTTCTTTGGCAAGTTCTGTTCTCCCTAAGTGGCAGAGCCTGTGCTTCATCCCACCAGAGAGGGGCAGTGTTCTGTAGATGCTGCACGCAAAGGGTTACTTTCTAAACACACTAATGTTGCTGGGTCGGCAGGCAGTTGGTACATGGCGTATGTAGCCTTACTACACACCTTCTTACTAACACACCTTCTTCTTCTATTTTTTCCCTTTGGTTTCTTTTTGTTTTTATATATGTTGTTAAAGAATATGACTTGCTTTGAATGTAAAGAGATCACCTTCATTGGGACAAATACATATTACTTATTTGTCAAACCGCCCTTTTACTGGCAGAAATACCATTTTCCTCATGCAAGAATTCCTCTAACAAAGATCTAGAGGATCTTATTCCCAGGACTTGACTTTTCTTCAGTAAGATAGGGAATGTTCCAGGTATTGTCACTTCCCAAAGTCTAAAGAGACTACAGAACATGAGATCCACAAAGTTACCCTAGTCCCAGGAAACTTGGGTTCATGTTTACTTTTATCCCCCCCCCAACTCCCTAATTCTGTAGCTTTTAGAAAGACACTGTAGTGCATATACTATATGTTCTGGAACTCCATTGAAAGGCTTGGCTTAGTCTGGTTACCTGCAAATCAGAACCTTAATATTTCTGCAACAAAGTAGAGAGACCATTCATCCAAAATGGACAAGTAAGTGGTTATATTTTGCTCACAAGTAAGTGTGCCATTAGGAAGACACGTTGCAGAACTGAATTAGATTTGGGGACATTGGGCAAAGAATTTTAGGCCTGTAGTAGCTGCAGCGTGAGAAACCCTGGAAGCTCAGCTTGGTCAACATTGACTTTTACATCTGACTTTGACATTTACTTTGACATTGGCCTGTGTGCCACTGTGGCAGGGGCTTCTGGGTAACTCCCAAGGATTTTGGATAGTGACTTCCAGGGATTCTCACCATGCTCTAAAAGCAGGAATTTGTCTAATGTGATAGGGAAAGGAAAGGGACCTGAAGCCTGGGGCCTCCACGGGGACAGTGCTGAGAGTGCTCACAGCGCCTTGTTTTAGTCTGTGGGTTCCCCTACGTCAGATGGTGAGTTTGTAGCTTACAGGAGTAGTGATTGGTACAGTAGATCTGTTGAGGTGCCTACATTGCAGGGTCGTGTTTGGATTTCCTCCCAGAAGGATCCTATGTAATCCCTTCCCTCATCCCTTCCTCACCTTTCATTGTAAATAGGTGCTTCTTGCTCCCAAGGTTCACCGTTGAATTTTCTCTCTGCTACTGACAATAAAATATTGTTGGATTATGTGTCTTGTTCCTTATGCTTTTCTTAATGACTGTTTTGAAATAGAACCAAGCTGATGCATCATTCCATCAGAACTATCTTCAGGGTCTTTTGTCATCTTTCCATTTGATTTTCCCTACACTCTATATTTAAAATCCCTTTGTCTTTCCAGACATGTGTATTTTAGTATTTTCCAAATTGTTCCCCCTTTTTACCTGATTAAGGCTAGGATAAACTTCCTGTTGTACAAGGCAGGGAGTTTGGAAATGATAGCCAAGAACTGAGGTTTAGATGTTGGTAAGGAACTACATCCTAGGTCCCTAAGATTGTTAAGACAATGATGTGCAGTGGCTCATGCTTGTAATCCTAGCTACTCAGGAAGCTGAGATCTGAGAATCATGGTTTGCAGTCAGCCCAGGGAGGAAAGTCTGTGAGATTCTTATCTTCAATGAACCATACAGATCTGGAAGTGGAGCTGTATCCTAAGTACTAGAGCACCAGCTTTAAGTAGAGAAGCACCCAAGCCCTGAGTTCAAGCCCTGTGACCAGCACACAGATACACAGACTCACAGACACCCACCCACCCCTGCATACCTTATGACATAACATTAGGGTCTTGCTTACTATCAGCCCCTGGATCCCGCAGAAAATGGCAGCCAGCATCATTCCCCTCCCCAACTGGTGGTGGAGGTTGATGTCACTTAGTGTCTGAGAGTTAACCTGGCTTTCTAGGACTGCTCACCTCTGTCAGTGCAGACCCTAATAAAAGTTTGATGTCTTGAGGTCTCTAGCTTGAACTCAGGGCTTAGATAAATTTTTTTTCTGCTCACCGCTGGTGTTGTAGCACTTCAGCCAGGCCTCCAGTTCTATTCCAACAGCTTTTGGCTGATTAACTGAATAATCCAAGTCTCTTGGATTTGGCTGCCAAGGCTAGCCATGGAACTGTGATTCTCAGCTCACATTGTGGCTGTGAGCCCCTGGCTCTGGCCTGCAGCATTCTTTCTCGTGTCTGCCTGTCCTGCCACAGGGTGCATCTTTGCTTTGCCTTCATTTGGTTTACATGAATAAATATACCACAACGCGCCTATTAGCACAGCAACAACATACCTGGCATACAACTGCCCGTGCCTCCCCTTAGCCGTGTCCTGATACACTTCTTTTGCCAGTCCACGTCACCCAGCTCCGGCACTTCTGTTCTCCTGGTGCTGGGGCACGCTGGAGTGGACCTTTGCCTTATGGGGGCCCCCTCCCCTCCCCTTTGTGGCTTCTTATTTTTGCCAGGTTGAAGTTAGACTTGGCTTTGTTGAAAAGGTGAATTGGCCAAGGAATTAACAAATCGAATTTCGTGGGGTGTAAGGGACTTCTGTTTAACACAAGGAATTTGCCAGTTGACATCTTTGGTAGCTCAGAGTCCCTGGGTTTTGGATGGTTAATAAAGATGTGCATGCTTTACAAGGTCAAGTTTTTGTGACTGCAAGACTACATTTGAATAATTTTCCTCCCCAGCTCGAAATTCTTTTCCAAGTGAGTTCTTGGGTGGGCCAGTTTGCACAGTTTGAGTTGTCTGCCAGGTACATCATTCTGGGATAAAGGAACAAGGGTTTAGAGAGGAATAACACTTGTTTTCCTCCTTCAAGGACTTTATAATTCAGTTGGGAAAGGAAGTCCCATCAACGATGACATTTAAGAACATGCCAGTGCCCAGTGTTCACATCAATGAAAAGAGTGGAACGTGCCCAGTGACTGTAAGATCAGACATCTTCCACAGGTCCATGGGCAATGGAGACTTCCACATACTTCCTTGGGCTCAGTCCCCAAAGATCCTGGAACAGATTGCTGAATGGGAAACTCCAGTCCAGGCCCAGGAAAATCCAGGGCTCCCGGAGCTCTTATTGACCAAGCCCTGGCTAGGCCTGGTTATATGAAATAACATCGCCCTCTATAGGATTTGCTTACTCCTCTGTTTTCCAAGCACGGTGTTCACAGGTCTTGTACACCTGAATACACTGGAGGAGTCCATGGTGGAGACACGTGACCAGCACCCCTCTCGGAGCCCCTCCACACTAGGTCTTCCCCGATGGTTACTAGTGCTTGAACTCAGTACCTCACCCTGCTTGCCAGCCCTGGCCATTCCCACAGCTGCCCTGGTCATTGTCCAGCCACCCACATTCAAGGTGAGCTGGTATCTTCTAACAACTTGTAAAACTATCACTGCTATCCACAGACTTTGATGGCAGCACACTGTTGTCCTATTTTATTTGGCTGTGCAAATTTCCATAGTCTCGCCTGTAACATAGATCCCTTTTCTCATCGCCATACTGTCCCTGAAGTTGTGAACACGCTGCAACCCAGTCTGTCACGGATGGACATTTGGGTGTTTTTGTATATTACAAGGGGCATGTTCTTGGATGAAGTACACGTGAAGTCCTGATACATGTGTGTGGAGGGCATGATTATGCATGCACACTCACGCATGTAAGGGTGGATGATACGAAGAGTCCTATTTGGTAGGTATGTAAGACATTTTCCCATAGTGGCTCTTTTTTTTTGGTGGGGGGGTCCGGTCGTGGGGCCTGAACTCTGGGCCTGGGCGCTGTCCCTCAGCTCTTCAGCTCAAGGCTAGCGCTCTACCACTTGAGCCACAGCACCACTTCCGGCTTTTTTCTTTTTGCTTATGTGGTGCTGAGGAATTGAACCCAGGGTCTCTGGCATGCAAGGCAAGTGCTCTACCACTGAGCCACCTTCCCAGCCCAATAGTGGCTCTTTTTTAGGACTGTTTTTTGATGGCATTTTAGGTCCTCTGTTTTTTTAATTTGATTGAAGTAGTCATATATATATATATATATATATTATATATATTTTGTGTGTGTGTGTATGTGGTACTGAGGAATCAAACCCAGGGCCTCATGCATGCTAGGCAAGCACTCTACCAGTAAGCCACAGCCTCAGCCCATAGTGATTCTAACCAATACTTTTTAATCTTCTATTATTGTTGCTATTAAGTTAATAATTATTGATAATGATTATTTCTCCAACTGCCACTCCTACCAGCAACTCTCATTCTTGGAGGTGAGTCTGGGCTGGGCTGATGGCTAAGACGATGTGTATTATAGTTCTACTTCCCCCGTAGCCGGATAAGAGCTTGCTTGTGGTGAAGGGTATGGTGATGAGAAGCACAGTGTTAGAACTTGCTAGCACACACGGTGAGGACGTCCTGTGTTAGGCTGGAGTCTCATGTCAGACCCTTACAGCCATGGTGCTTTGATGGCACCCAAACCTTTTCTTGCTGAATTGAACTATTTAAAAGACAAATTTTTCTGTCTTCTGTTTATATTAAAGCAAAATATTTTGTTAACTAGTTTGTTAAGTCAGTAAAAGACAGATGAATGAGATCACATAAAACTTAAATGTTTACACGAGGAGAAACATCTTCCACGAAGGTTTACCTTTCAGATATTTCTAGTTTAATGTCATTCAAACGCTCAAAAACCCCATTTTCCACTCACATCACTGAGCGTCGTTTGCCACTGACATCGGATTGATGTGTCTTCCCTCTTAGTCTTAGCTCTTGAACTAGAAACTGATTTTGTAACATTTTTATTCAGAGCCTCCCTGCCTCGGGGATTTCAGAGGTGGGTGTTTCCTTGTTTGATGGCTTTTATCTCTGTCATCATCGCAGCCTGGACAATGCTGGCTGCTTAGCTTTGTGAGAACTTTTCAGATGAAGAGGGCAAAGGTTTACTTCCTGCCTCAAGACCCAGA